AAAAATCCAAGAATGTCCAGATCACCAAATAGTGTCCCAACAATATATATTTGCTTAAAGTTTGACCTGACCTGCCAATTCTATTCTGAATTCAAATGGCTTTTCAAATATTCGTTATTGGCTTCACACATAAATCGATTGCGTTAAATGATATCACGCCACAAACGACGTAATGATAATACGTGAAACTAGGAATGTTAACAATTAAATCTGGTTCTAACGTTTTCCTTTGTCTCCAGGGTTCCAGAGCTTAAGAAAAAGGTGTTTGATAAGACAGGTGTGGAAATTGAAAGACAACGTCTCCTTTTTGCCGGTAAACAACTTGAGGATGAACACAACGTAGAACACTATAAAATAGTGAAAAGTTCTACTATTCAGGTGGTCGTTAGGTAGGATAAAATTTTTCAATCTGTCGTTGAAGATTAAGAAATAACGATGACATATCTAGTTGTTATGTTTAATTCAATAAATTTACTACATCTCGAATTTTTCTATTTTTATTTTACCATGTTTGTTTAATTTCTCCGATAAAAATGGACATTTGAGTTATTTGCTAAGTAACAATTTCTATTTCAGAGTCCTGGGTGGCGCAGATGAGAAACGTCATGATCCCAACGATGGCCTTGAGCTAACCAACGAACCCGACATGATCACGTAAGTACTTCCAGTCGCTCGATTATTCATCTACTAAGCGGTCTTTTTATCTATAGTTGGGATGACGACCCAGATAACTTACGTGCAAAGGTAATAGATATCTTTCAACGACTTGGAAATCAACATTTATATCTTTAAACCCCTTTTCAGATGCCATGTGGCCACGCTATTGGTCCCCAATCCCTGACCGCCTTTTGCAGATCACTTGTTAGCGTAGGCAAATTTCAATTTTTTTGTCCGTATGTCAACTGTGAGTACTCACACGCATGTGTCTGAAATCAACTGGTAATGTTTTCTCACTATTCGTTATATACATCAAGCGACAAACAATGCTCGTTGCCGTGCGGAATGGCAATATATTGACATCCGCAAATTAGGTCTCCTTACTGACGACGAGTGCAAATATTTTGAATCCAAGATTAGTGAAAATTATTCTATTCGCGCATTTGGCGCTCAAGAATGTCCTCAGGTGAGATGAAAATTCACTTTCGACTTTTCTGTCTCAGCTCTTGTTGACTCCAAGTGCCATCAGTAGTGCTCCACATTCTGTGAGAGAGGCAATAAGAACCGGTCAAATGTAATTTGTTTGGTATGCTCAAAGAATGGAGAATATGCATTTTGTTGGTACTGCTTGCACGAAGTTAAGGGTACAGAAGGTTATCGTTGCAATAACGATCTCTGTGGAGGTATCGATCCACGTCTAGCCATTCTCAAAAATGCGGTCAAAAAGGTAAGATATCTTGCCCGATGACTTTTTTTCATAATTGTATAATTAACGTTAATACTGATTAATATTGTGGTTTCAGAAAATAGTCGACGTATCCGGAGTACCATCGTGCCGCGCATGCCCGAAATGTGGTACAATTATCGAACATGATGACAGGTGTAAGCATATGAAATGTCCTTGCGATCAAGAATTCTGGTATTTAATAAAAAAAAAGGGGGGGGGGAGGAGGAAACAATTCTGAACTAATTCTTGTTATACCGATATACAGTTTCGTTTGCCTTAGACTGCGTGATCCGCAAACGGGCTGGCCATGCGGTACATCCAGCACTGTGTGCGATATTGCTCCTGTACAGACCACTATCCCCGGCTTATAATCTTTTTCCATATTGAAGCGGAGGAATAATATTTTTTATCATTAACTCGGACACGGAAAAATTTTTGTTTTATTATTATTAAATTATTTGCCTGGTTCTTTTGTATTTTCAAGCCAACGTTTTTTTGTTTATATTTATTAATCTTCTTATTTTGCAATCTATCTTTGTCATTTGTTAATTTATCATCTGTATTTGACAAATTAAAATGAGATTATGTTGCTTTGGGTTTCGAGAGAAAAAAGGATTCTGTTGTGCTTTTTCGTTGATAAGGATTGGACCCGTTTAACCACATTGACCCATAGCACTCCTCAACAATTACATGAAATTTTCGTCTAAAAATCAGCTAACACCGATCAGTGGAATAAGTAGAATAAGTTAGCTAATCTACATATATTTTGTCGCACAGGGTATATATGTGTGGCTCTCAGCAAAAAAATATTCTGGGGTATGATCAACTGCTCCGGACTAGATAGGGTAGATCTAATTACCAGACTAACTAGTGCTCCAAATCTGAACCGATCTGATAAAAACTGAACATCGAGAATCAGTCATAATTTCCCTAAACCAAGAAAAACTACTTCGGTTCAAAAATTTTCGGAGCATTACTTCTGCATTTTACTCATTTAGTCCAAATATCTGGGCTAAAATCTTCGTAATCTGATTGTTACGCAACTGTGCACTATCTGATGAATGCTTTTGATTAGTTATTTCCATTCTAGCCATTTTCGTGATATATTTCTACACGTTATATCTTGCTTCGAATGAAAAAATAAAATAAAATTCAATAAATGATATCTAACCAATCTACGTGATTAGTTTTCATTAAAGATGCAGAATGGTCTTACCTGATTATATGCTCCTTTTTTTCAGAAATTGACTATAGTATATTTCTTAGTTGGAGAGGCATGGTTGTCACTTGAATGCCAAAGTGCTTCACTGGTAAAAGTATTAGCTTTCGATACATGCCTAGGCCCATATGCTACAAATACTAATCCTATTTTATCGCAAATAACTAGGAAGAAGTGGTTTATGACTTTTGGGAAGAAATTCATTTTTTTTTTAGAAATATACTTAAGTATGTAGATTCAGGCTTTTCTGGATCCCTTAACTTCCTGAAAATGATTGCTTTCTGAATCCATACAAGCAATTGTCTTACCCACTCCTTATTCTTTTCCATTGATCTAAATACTTGAGAACCCCCATTAGATATACACAAGGTTTTAATTTCAGCTAGACGAATACAAAGCATTATCATTACATCAGTTAGATTAATTAAATGTAAAGAAAATGGTTACAAATAAGATCCTTTTTATATTATTAACATATATCAAAAGATTTTTTCAGTATTGTTAGTTTTATAAGTTATTAAGCTTAATATCATACTTAGATGTTCATTTTTTAGATAAATTTGAATCTGTAATTAATTATCGTTCAACGGCACAGGTATTAAATCTTATATAAATAGCAGTAAGAATAGCAATAAATATATACAATACTAAAAAAAAAATATTATTTTCTGAATAATGAATTGTGAAGAAAATTATACATTTATTTTAAAGTATATAATATTTTATTAAAAATATGAAATTTTTATATTATACTTTAATTTACTTACTAATGTCTATTTACATTTAAATTTGATATTTATATTATAGATAGACTAGAATTTGAAAATTTTATCAAGTAAAAATACGTATTAGAAATTTTAGTTTACAATAGGATTCTTTATCTGCAGCTGGATTTCTATTTACAAATGCAGTAAAATCAAATTATATGATAACCATAACTAAATATAGTCATAATTATTTTCAAATTTCAATTAAGTTGCAACTTAATTGTAATATAAGAAAATTTAATTGCATTATAAATTACAACTCAATTGCATTATTTTTTTTAATTATGATACTCATCTTTAACTATAATACATTTTTTTG